GATGGAAGTTAGATTACCTGTTGCTTTCATGTGGAATTCTTGAATTGAATCATGTGGAGTTGTAGAATTGCACCTCTCGGGGTGGCTGCATGTTGGAGTAGCTCTTACATTCATTCTGAGTTGTTTCTTATGAAAACTTTAATTCCTCTTTTTCTGGATGTAAATCACTTTTTTGGATGCTTATTTCCTCTGGTATCAGATGCTGTGCAGCTGTAAGGATTTTTACCAAAACCTTTTTACTTTGGGGCATTTGTTATGATGCATAACCATGGCAACAAGGTGTTTTTTAACAACCAGGAGCAGCTGATCAACATCTCAAAAGCTCAAATAATACCTCAACTACAGCCCCAAATCCCAAATGAGTTGAAAAGGAGGCGCCGTGGATGAATTCCCATCAACCTAGCAGCGGTGCTCGAGTACCTGACCACCGAGATCCTGGAGCTGGTGGGAAACTTGGCTTGTGACAACAGGAGGACCAGAATCTTCCCCCGGCACCTTCAGCTGTCTGTCCGTGGCAACGAGGAGCTCAGCAGGCTGCTGGGAGGAGTGACCATCGCTCAGGGAGGAATTCTGCCTGGCATTCGGGCAGTCCTGCTGCCCAGGAGGACTGAGAGGCCCACCGGATCTGACAGCAAGCTGGATCTGAGTGGACGGATTTGTGGCCAGATTCTTCGGATTTCCTGCAGGAGATACTTCCAACGATCACCTATCAGCATCTAACAACTCTTGGATGAAACCAGGATGATGAGCTACGACAACACTTAATTTCCCTCTGAGATTAATAAAGTATTTTTTAATTGAATTGAATTGAATCAGATTGTCTCCAAAAGTTAATCGTTTGTAGATACTCATCCAGTGATTTCTTTGAGTTACATGAAAAATACGATTTTTTTGCAAACACACACACCCAGACAATCATTTACATGATTGCTAGTCTTTTGTGGCAATTTTTAGTAACCATGTAAATAACTAGAGGTGATCACTGGCCAAGGACACGCTTTCAGTTTTTCTCAGAACTTGGTGTGGTTCTCATGTCAGACCTGGTCTTTTATCACATTCAGAGATGTGGAGATTGTCCCTGTAGCACACTGGGAAGAGTACACCAGCTAACCTCGAGCTGATCAGAAATGTCTAACTATGTCATCACTTTTGCCCAAATTTTATGACCCCTCTCATGTTGCACTGTAAAAAGTAGAAGTAAGCAGGAAACTTTCTGAGAAGCTCATATAGCAGCTCATACAAACTGCAAGATAAGGTTAAACGATAAATCCGAGACAGCTCGTCAAGAGCCTGGCTGCAGTCATAAGCATAACTTTGATACGTTGCTGGAGTGAGATACTGCAGGAATACCACATTCTCATTTAGCTTTCAGGTCAGAATTTGTCTTCACAATCATTCGATATCCAGATGACCGTTTTTGGACTATTAGTGGACACTTGTCATTTGACAATGGTTGCCTACAAATTGTGTGCAAAACCAACACAATTTAGTCAACATAAAAAAATACGAACACGTTAACCACGTTTCACTTATAGAATAATCAATTTACTCTGGCAATAAAACAACAAGTAAAGGCCTAGCATTCCTTGAATAAATGTTTATGTTGGACGTATTTTATATCAGGGTTTTAAAATTACCCGAAGTTGAGAAATGACAAACTCATATTAATTTTGCTTATAGGGATCTCTGACTACTTGCACATATTGGCTTTAAAATATGATTTCTATGTTCTACTATTTTTTTTTGATGACGCGAATTACTATATATATATATATATATATATATATATATATATATATATATATATGTTTGTTGTATTTTTCATGTATGGAAGTCACCGTTATTTTACTGGTGCAATGCATTCTGGGTCAATGATGTACATCGGTTGTAGTTGAGACTAAAACACAAAGAATCAAGGTAAAAAAGTTAAGTTTTTATTAGTTATTATGCACAATATATGGGTCAAAAAATGGTGAAATGTGGTCAACTTGTGATGTATAATTTATTAGCTCCAGATTAAATGGTAAATGGTAAATGGAGCTTACTTCTATAGCGCCTTCCAGCCCCCTATGAGGGGCCCCAAGGCGCTTTACAGTACCAGCCATCCACCCATTCACACGCACATTCATACACCGGTGGCGGTAGGCTGCCATGCAAGGCGCCATCCAGTCCCACCGGGAGCAACTCGGGGTTAAGTGTCTTGCCCAGGGACACAACGGCACATGGTGTGGGAAGTCGGGATTAACATCATATATATTAGTTGTGGAGCTAAAGCCATTTACTCCAGAGCTAGTGCTATTGGCAATGGTGCTAACAGTTAGCTCTGGAGCCAACGCTATTAGCTTTAGAGCTAACGCTATATATATTAGCTCTGGAGCTAAGGCTTATTAGAGTCATCTCTCCATTCTCCTCTCCGTCAACTTGCTCTGGTTCAAATTAAGGGGCCAAGATGGTGTAGGGGCAGGGCAGCCGACTCGGGACCCGAAGGTCCTGGGTTAGATCCCCGGTCGTTGCACATGTCGTGGTGTCTGAGCAAGACACCTAATCCCAAATTGCTCCCCGGGCTCCTACATAGCTGCCCACTGCTCCACCTGGGTGTATCCCAGGTGCAATGGGTTATATGCAGAGAGCCAGTTTCATATTTGTATGGGAACATACAATGATGACAACACATATCACTTTACTAAAGGGCTGAACATTAGAGAATGTCCAAAACTAACCTTTAAGCTGAATGGAGCTCGCACCGGAGTATAGTTGCATTCTGGCCTAAAAAAATTTGACCCGGCTCGGCACGAACCCGTAGATTTTTTTTTCCGAACCTGACGCAACTTGATCTTTTAACTGTAATTAGAGGCCCAACCCCCCCCCCCCCCACACACACACACACACAAAAAAACCACATACAGAACAAGGCTATTTTAATTGAACGTGTTGCTCGTGTCAGCTTTTGTAGATGCTGCTACTTCCTTCACCGCAGATGTCAGAAGGTGCGGAGATGAGCGTGGACGGTGATCAGCTAATCCATCTGACCTTAACTGTACTTTTTGTTTTTACCTCGTTCAACTGGTCATTCGAACCTGCCTCCTCTTCAACGAGTAGATTAACACAATTTTATATTGTGCATTTTTATTTAGTTTTATTTGTGCCATACGTAAAACCGCATCAAAACCCAAGACCGGCACGGCCCACACATTAAGCACATTATTGTGGTCCAACCCGACCCGAATTCAGGCCAGGCCGGGCTTTGGGCTCGTGTTAGAAATGAAAGCTCTACACCGGAGCATCCTGTCTACGTCATTTACCCAGAATGCATTGCAGCGTAAATAAAATGGCAATGTGTCAATATTTTTTAGAAGATCATAACTATCTCCTTTTTATAGTTGAAGTAATAGTTCATCAAAAAAAGATAAATTGTTCCTATTAGTGAGCAATCATTTTAAACTTTGAAAATAAGACCATACACAATCACAACATATATGATCTTGGATGATCTATTAGGGCTCATATTGTATTGTATTATATATGTGTATCTAATAATAACTTTCTTTAGGTTGTTCAAGTAAAAACATTGCTCTACGGTTGGTTTTGGTGTTGAGAATTAACTGCACAGTGACATCATTTACTCAAATGTTTTCTTTTGCATTTTTAGTTTGATTCCCGCTCTCTTCCAGCTATCAAACAGCAAGGACACTATATCTTGTTTTAAGGTCAAAATCACCAATAACGGAGCAGAAAAAATAAAAAGGTGAATTTTAACAGGTTACTACAGAAAATGACAATCTATAGTACCGTACTATTACTTTAATAAGGTTGAGAAAAAAGTGATTAAAGTTATGAACTGTTTTGTAAATCGAGCAAACTTGCGGTGCAGAAAATAAAAGGAACCCCAGCGATGCCCTCCAAACTGAATTCAGCTGCTGGGAACTGAAAGAAATCATCCAAAGAGTGCCAGCTCACCCCTCTGAGCAGTCTCAGTGGTGAAGCCCCACCTCACTCCAGCAGGGCACGTGTTGGGGAATGGGAGTGCATGAACCAGATAGGATGGGGGAGTTGGTAAAGAAGCCCAAAGATAGAAAGAAAAGCCTGTAAACAGCAGCTGAAGAATTGAAAACGTGGATTTGTGAGCAAAATTTTAAAAACTACAAATATTTCATGAATTATCTGAGTTATTTGCCCCATTATAGGTAAGAGAGATGTTTCTGGTGAGTTTGAAATGATTATTATGGTCATTATTAGCATGAGTATGGCTTATAATTAAAACATAAGACACTGAAGTAATCTCACTATTCCAAACAGAATGTAACTCTAAACCTGTGTTTATAATCTCATACCGTGTCAACATTTGAAGTGACCACAAGAACAAACTGTGTTTACAGCTTCCTCGCCTGCCCTCTCATTCTTGTTGCTACTGCGCCCAGGTTGTTGTTGACATGGGTTTTGAAATAGCTGCAGTCCGAGCGATCCACCATCTGTCCCATGAGGTTGCTCAATTTGGAACATCCCACATACGAGCCAGCCTCGGGCACGTATATGTTGTATATCACTTTGCAGAAGTATCCTACTTAAGGGAGGCTGGCAGCTCTTTTATTTCTGTTACCTTGGAAGTTGTACACTTGTCAGTCTGGCCATCATTTTGGGTTGACTAAGAGGATACAGCAACCAGGAATCGTCTTCAAGATCTAAGCGTTCAACCTGTTAGTGCTGGAACCTGGCACCTATGGAGCCTTGCAGATGACGCAATGTGACATGAGCTTTAGAGCTACAAACTGGATATTATTAGAGCTGGAGGGGTTGTATTTCTGGTGCGTGACTGCGTACTGAACCTTTGGATTTCAATGGTTGAATGATCCTCTTCAAATGACAAACTACCTAACATTTAGAAGTAATAAACCATGAAAAAGCAATCCATGCATAGTAATGAAGGACTGGAATAGCCTCAAGAGCATTTTGTTTACTTTGAAATAGTTTAATTTTTATTTGTATCTTTATGACTCTTTCAGATGTTGCTCACACTCAAGGTCCACTTGATGGAAGTCTATATGCTCAAGTCTGCAAGAAAGACTCCTTGGAGGGAGGTGTCACCATCAATGGCCTCCCAGCCCGTGAAAACCCCTTGAAGAATACCGAGAACTCACTGCAGCAGAGCGATCATCCACTTCAAACAACCGAGCAGAACCTTCCCGTGACAGGCCACACCACCCTCCCAGCTGTAGACCATACTCTCTCCGTGAGCAGTGACTCGGGCAACTCTACTGCATCCATCAAGACTGATCGTACTGATGAGCACAGCCAGTCCTTGCAGATTGCTGCAAGCCATAACAACCCAACGACTCACCCACCGCTCAGCCCACAAGAGAAGAGAGAGCTTGATCAGCTTTTGAGTGGCCTAGAAGCATCAACTCAGCAGCAGGCCTACTTGTCCACATCCACCAGTCCAGGAGGAGGGGTGAGACACCTGGTCCCAGCACAAGTCCACGTCAACGGGGGCCACACCAGGGTTATTGCAGTACCTTCAACAGAGGAACGCGAAACAGACATTCTCGACGAAGAGCTGCCGAATAGCCAAGAGGGCAACAGTGTGGACAGCTTAGGTACACTTTCATCCCTAGAGGGTCAGGCAACACCAGGTAGCCTCTACTACCAATCACAAACACCTGTCAGTGTCCAGAACGACGGCCCCTATCTTGAGAGAAACGCTCTTGAGGAAAAGCTGAGCAAAATGCCTGTGCATGGAGTACGAACACCTACAGCGGTACAAGAGAGAGCTGCTGATTCACCATCACCCCAGGGGGGATACAACTACCAAAATGGAGGAGGGATGTACCGCTCACAGTCTTTTGGGAACCAGCCAACAGGTAGTCCTGAGACAAACTCCAAGCTAATGCCCAGGGCCCCAGAGAGGAGCACCAGCAGTCGAGAGGCTGTTCAAAGAGGTCTCAACCACTGGCACCAGCATAGTCTTCCAGATGACCCTTTTGGGCCTCCTCTTCAGTCAACCCACAGCCTGCCCCACTTTCCAACCCCGGCCTCACAACGAGACATTGAGCAGTCCATCGAGGCACTAAACATGCTAATGCTCGATCTAGACCCAATCAGCTCTCATATGTCTAAGTCCCACAGTGCACCATCTGGGGAGAACAACCTCAGTTCATCCCAGGCACCGTTCTCCCAGACCCTGGCCAGGCCTTCTTACCAAGGGGACTCTGCCATCCATGGCTACAACAACTCTGGGTCAGTAAATAACACCAATCATCAGCCCCAGCGGTCAATGGGGAGGGTGCCAACAATGCCAAACCAAAGTCCAGTTACAGATTCTCTAGTACACGCTACTCAGAGGTCTAGCACTGGCTATCAGCACCAGAGCACCACCCCGACACACACTCCTGAGCCCTACCTCCACACACGCCAATCACCCCACTACTACCCCACTGATTCTTCTTCTAACCTCAACCAACAAAAGCCATTGAACTCGTATGCAGGAGTTTCACACTCCCCAGACCTGCAAGGTCCTTCTTCATATACAGGCTACAGCACCTCTTCTTCTCCACTTCCTGTCCTCACGCCACAACCCAAGGACACATCTTCTTCACCTTTGCCCAGAGAGCATACAGATGCAGAGGAGGAGACACTAAACTTGGAAGGCCTGGTTGCACACCGTATTGCCGGTAAGGTGTGCACCCACTGATGTTTTTAGGAGTATGTTGTACCTATATGAAATAAGAGCATACGTAAAGCTAGAACCTAATAGCAAATTTAACTTTTGGGCTTTAAACAGTACAGAGGGAACAGGCCTGGATCTGAATTGCTGACAGAAGTTAACAGAGGACATTGTAGCAGAACGTGAGCGGTGCAGCTTTCAGCAGATTTATCCTGGTTCTGTATCACTGAAATGACCTGTTCTCATAAAATTAGCTCTGTGGCTGAAATGAAGCAGAGCTGGTTAAAAATGGGGAAGGAGAATAAGAATAGGTAGGCATTCAGAAGCTCTCTTGCCACATTCAAAGTGAAGTTTCATTAGGAGCAGCTCATTGCTGCCTCCCAGTGGAGCAAAGGAGAATACATTTTCTCCAGCTATGTCGATTACAAAACCATGTTTCATGTGTCTATTTTAAATAGGATTTGAAAGAAAACCGTTATATCGTCAACACATTTGCAATCTATTCCAGCTGTTCATTTCTGTTCCTCCCTATATTTTTTTGTTTGTTTAATCCGTCTTTGTTTCCATCATTGCTTTTTTTCCCCCTCCCTCATCCTTTTGGTCCTGCATCCTTTCCCTCCTGGATCAGAGTACAACGCTCGTATTCGGGGCATCAGTGAAAGCATGACTCCACAACAATCTGACCGCCATCGCTCCTATTCCTTCTCTGGTTTGTCCACTTTCCCTCACTTTTATTTTCCTAATTTATTTGATCTTTCTGTTCCTGCACCACTTAAATTTTCTCTGCCTCCCAACCATTTCACTTTAATTTAAGGTGTTTTATGGTTGCTTCCTCCATGACTTTTATTCCCGTCCTCTCTCAGGTCTGTTTGTCTTTCCCTTCTGGTTTTTACCCCTCGTTATGTCCAACTGTTTTGGGCAACATGTTCAGTCCCACACAGTAAAGATGTAACATGGCTTTTCAGGAGTTCGTTCTAGAGGAATGACCCCGGAGGTGACGCAAGAGACTGGCAGACGCCGGACCACAAGTGAGGGCCAGTACCAGAGCAGCCATGACAGCATGTCAACGTCACATTCGCCAGACTTCACCAACAGTCTGTCCATCAACCCGGGAGGAAGACCAAAAGAGGTACGGTTAAATGCTTTCTCCATCTCGTGGGATGCAGTGATTAGACTTTTCTACATTCTCTTTTTGGCATTGGATCCAAAACACTGCTCCACAGTATGTTGCGAGTGGATCACGTCACGTGACTGTTCCATTCCACAGTCCATTATGTCTCCCAACTTTTCTGAACGTCTCATAACGTCTCGCTCGTTTACCCAAGTCTCTTGTTCTGAGCATGGTTTTGGATTTTGTTATAATGTTGATGTGGAAGGAATCTCGGTCCAAACTTTGTTATTCTGGATAAAATATTTAAATGAACAGAATGACCCACTACAAAAACAGACTAATTCAAATATATATGTTTTTATTTAAATAAAACTATCCATTCATCCATTATCTTTACCCACTTCTTCCTTTTTGGGTCATGGGGGTCACTGGTGCCCATATTCAGCAGTCACTCTGCGAGAGGCAGGGGACATCCTGGACAGGTCTCCAGTCCATCACAGAGACACATAGAGACAAACGAGACAACCATTCACTCTCTCACTCAAACCTAGGGACAATTTAGAGTTACCAATCAGCCTAACATGCATGTTTTGGTCTGTGGGAAGAAACTGGAGTACTCGGAGGAAACCCACACATGCACGGAGAGAACATGCAAACTCTACCCAGAAAGGCCCCCGGACCGGGATTTGAACTGGTGACCTTATTGCTGTGAGGTAACAGCTCTACCAACTGCACCATCATGCCATCCCAAATAAAACGATAGATAGATAGATAGATAGATAGATAGATAGATAGATAGATAGATAGATAGATAGATAGATAGATAGATAGATAGATAGATAGACAGACAGACAGACAGACAGACAGACAGACAGACAGACAGACAGA